GTGAGCAAATTTAATAATATCATTAATTGTAGATGTGGAATGGCAGAGGTTCACACCAAATCAAACATTTTCCAACAATGTATTTGTAGTGGTGCATGAGCACAAATAAAAATAACATCGATACATTCGTCAATAACACTACCTTAAGAGAATGTATAATAGGTTACGTTTCAGGCAATGGCCATAATTCATATATGAAAGAACATTTGAGGTCCGTTCAGATGATTACAGTATATTGAGAAGTCCTAAAGATAATATTTTAAAATTCGTGGGTGGGTGTAAATCACACACCCACGAATTTATAACCAGGTGGGAGTCCACGGAGCTAAGTTTCTTCGGCACAAGCGACTCGGGCCACAGAGTATGGTACAACCCAATGGACAAACTCTCCTCAAAAAAGTCAACAAGATGAGAACAAATGACACGAGGTGCCAATGGGTACTGAGACACGCGGGCATTTACTCCGTGACGCTTTGCGACATATCGACGACCGATCGCTGTCTCTGCTGCTGCAGGGAGACTCGGGGGGCCCCCTCGCCTGCCAGGGCACAGACAAGGCCTGGTATCTGAGCGGTGTCACCAGCTGGGGCTTTGGCTGCGCCCTCCCCATGAAACCCGTCGTCTACACCAAGACCAGCAAGTTCCTGCCGTGGATCAAGCTGTACACAGACCTGCCCTGAGGACGGATGAACGATGCACACGGGCGGTAGGTCTACAATGTTCATTGCTCGCCAGGGCCACCAGGTGGTGCTCTCGACGAGTGGTTTGCCGCTTGCGTTTGAATTTAATTTTAACAAGCCCAACAGTTACCGTACGTGATATCTCAGCAAAGTTGGAAAAACGTCATGTTTTTAGGCTCAAATGCTAATAATTGCTAACTTGACATTGTGCTTCCCAATCTAAAATCAGTTTATTTTCATATCGTTGTATTTGTACAGCGTTGGGTTAAGGAAAATAAGCAAAATAATTTCAAGATTTTTAATGAAAATTATTTTTGGACGTACGGTGTTTTCCCATATTTAGATACTGTAATTATGTATAATAAGACTGCACATTCCAGGAAAAAGTAGGCAGAGCAGATAACACACCGCCTCTGCGGAGTGAGTATTGTCAGATTCCTGCTGACTGCACTGCTCCCTGAGAAGCACATCTCCTTTCCAAGCAGGACTTACATCATCATGTTATACGAATATTAGATCAGGGAAGTATATTTAACTTTGATTTAGGGAAGATATATCATTGTTTTCAGACAGATATGTTTTAACTGTCTTCGGTGTATTTGTCATAATTGGAAAAGGAAATAAATATGTTTGCTTTGCATGTATGTCATGTTTACTGTTGTATTTATTTCCAGTTCAAGTACCGATTTGTCATTCATTTGCCGAAGTGTTCTCATGATTAATACTGGCTGCACCGGTTTCACCTCCAGCTACTTAACACCAGGCCCGCAATTAAACATACACAAAGTTTTAGGCAGGCATGATTATTGTGGTATAACGATACATATCCCAGAAAATGGCTGGAGGAACAAAGACAAAGCTCCCCCCTTGTTGGGGCAAGTGCTGTTAGCGAGCACCGATGAAGACCAGCATGGCACACGAGGGGGTGGGTGGCCAGCACCAACGCCCAACTTCCTTTATCTCCGCAGTGGCGATGTTGACACACCACACCAGGTACTCATTTGAGGCTGAGTCGACCTAGGGAAGGCCCAGGACCAATTCAGATAATAGTCGCTGCTGTTGGCCGTGAGCGGGAATCGAACTCGAGTCCCCGGGTTCATAGCGCTGCGCGCCAGCCGTTACACCACCACCCCCCCACATACTGTCACACCAGCATGGCGATTGCACAACATGGAAAGAGCTGGGGAGCAGAAACTGAAAAGGAAATAGTTGACACGGGGATGCGTGCAGAGAAGCAGAGGAGAGCAAGGGGGGATGGGGGGTGGGCAGGAGAGAGAAGTAGGAAAGGTGAGTTTGTGAGAGGAGCAGGAGGGACGTGGAAGAGGAGTTGTGGAGGAGCCAAGGAGAGACGTTGAGGATGGGATCTGGGGCCAGCTCAGCACACCTGACCACGTGGTTTGATGGGAAAAATGACGTTGACGAGCATTTGCAGCAATTCAAATGTAGCCGCGGCTGGAGCGGTGCCACTTAATTGCTTGAGGCCGACCCAAATTATTGGCTTGGCCAAATGGGAGCAGGGATGCATTGGAGGAAACCGGAGAATTCGCAAGAAACTCTTGCAGAATTTTGGAAAAACATAAAAAAATAAATTCACACAGAAAGCGACCTGAGTTGGGAATCCAACCCAGGGCGTTCTGCCCGTGAGGTACCGGTTTTACTATTGCACCACCCTGTCGCCCCATGCAGACGTGTTTACTGGGATAAAAGCTCGCTATTGTGAAAAACTCGGCAATCAACTGTCATGCAATGCGTATAATGGGAAGACCTGCGTGGGTGTATAGACCAGAGTGAACTTGCAGGTCTGAGCCCACTCAGACGTGGTGGTGGTAACGATGGCACACAATTTACAAAAAACATCGAACAAACTGGAAAGTGCAAAGCATTCAGAGATGCATGGTATTATATTGAATGGTGGGAAAACATGGATTAGAGATTAGAAATGCGGGTTAAAGAAGACCATTCAAATTGTTGGACAAGTAAGTTGACTTGGGCACGACACGGCGACAGAAATGATGGTGGCCCGAAGGTCAAGAATAGTGAAGGAGTTGCAGCCGCGGCACGGAACGTGTCCGAGAAGATGTCCACCAAGGAAATGGAGCAATGAAATCTGCAGGTGTGCAGGTAGTGGAGGGTTGATTTACTGACGATAGCTAATCACTTGCAGAGTTTTTGTTTCAATATCCATAGGCAACAAGCGTGACTCACGTAACCAGGGGCGGCCCTAGACTATCTGGCTGCCACCAACTTGTACCCGAGGCGAACCACCCCTAAACCCCAAGGGCAGATCTAGACTGAGTTTTTTTTTCTGGTAAACTGGGAAACACTTTGCCCCTTTTTCCGTTCAATGTTTTTTAAGCATATATATTTTTTTAAAGGTGTAATGAGCGACTTCCACGACACGTTGTGTAGAGAGTACTTAATTTATTTCTTATACGGGCACAACACAGGCCAACTTCTCACTACTATTTGGTTCTATTCGGTAAAGTCACGTAAAAGTATAAAACAACAAATAATAAAAAAAAAATCATGACGTTTCGGCCACAACAAAAGTGGCCTTCATCAGGTGAAGGGACCAGACTGTCTCAAGGACAGCGCTGGAGTGAACACAGCCAAGCTCAGACCGCGACCTTTAAGCTTGTGTGAGAGGAATTAAGGTGCCTTGACAAAGAAATTAGCATAAAAGATCTCCAAAATTCTAAACAAACACAAGATCCTGGTCCGGTTCAATACAGTACACAAAATCCGTGACCTGATCCCTTCCGTGAAGGATGTCATTCCTGACTTACAGTACCCTGGGGTTTACAAATTTAGTTGTACCTGCGGTGACTGCTATATCGGGGAGACGAAACGAGATGTCTCTGACCGAATTCGCGAGCACAAATCAGATTTGAAACACGACAGAACGAATTATTCTGCCGTAGCTGATCACTGTTACAATGCTGTGGGTGATCACGATATAATTTCTCCGATACCAAGGTTCTTTGCAAACCCACGGGTTTTTATCAAAGATTTGTTCAAGAGGCAATTTAGATTTACAAACACAGACACAATTTCAAACGAGAAGATGGGTTCAAATTAAGCCACCATTGGAAGGATGTTCTAAATCTAACCAAAAATTAAACTAATTTTCAATGGTACAGTATATTTTTTCAAGAAGTGGTATCCCAAACTTTCGCAGCTGCTTAAATTCCCATTTCACACCATCAATATGTAAACTCCCCCTCCCCCCCTCGCCGGTTTGCACATGTTCACCCCCTCTACACCGTTCATCATGCTAAGTCCGCCAATTAAATGCTATTTTTTATGCTAATTCCTTTGTCAAGGCACCTTAATTCCTCTCACACAAGCTTAAAGGTCGCGGTCTGAGCTTGGCTGTGTTCACTCCAGTGCTGTCCTCGGGACAGTCTGGTCCCTTCACCTGATGAAGGCCACTTGTGTTGTGGCCGAAACGTCGTGAATTTTTTATTTTTTGTTGTTTTATACTTTTACGTGACTTTACTGTATAGAACCAAAGAGTATGGATCCTCGCAGTCACGAAAGCTTCAAATCTAGAATTACTTCTCACTCTGAGTACAACACTTAGATATTAACGTCTCTACTAGCTACACACACAGCCGATCACTCGACGTGGTCCCACCACCCTCACTCGGCTACGCCGCTGGCTGGCGGCGTGACGAGGATGACGATGGAAACCCCGCAGGAGATCTTCCACGTGGCCGGACGACGGAGAGAGATGACGACGAGCAGCGACGCAGTCCGGACTCAAGAATCCACAAACGGTCCCCGAGCCCCGGTCCGTCCCCGCTTATATCTCCCCAGGCGCGGCTAGGCCCCGCCTCCGGCCACGCCCTCTCGTGGAACCTTCGAGGAGGTTCCCGGAGCATCTCGGCCAACCCTGCCTGTTACCTTTGCCCCAGATACCTCTCCCTTTCAGATTGGATGTTGTCTTAGCGGTGCCCGTACCTGTGCTTGCCTTTTCCAGCCAGCAGGTGTCATCACGTCATTACAGAGGCATATTATTCGGTTTGGACCGTTCGTCCGTCTGTACAACCAATACATTCTCAGAAATGTTGAGACATTCATTAAAATTCATATTCCCTCTGTACGCGAACGGGAATTGAGTTAATGACAACTTAGTTATTTTATTTGTATTTTTTTTCATTTATATTTTTGTCCTCGCATTTGGCACCCGACTTAACTTGGCACCCTAGGCGACCATCTAGTTCGCCTGCATGGACGGGCCACCCCTGCAAGTAACAGTCCCGGCTTTATTCTTACGAAATGCAAAGCAAGTGAAAGAAAAAAAGCAAGTCTTAGAAATACTATTCAGGAGGTTTATTGCACAATTGACAGAACAGGGTGATAAACAACTCTGTGAAATATAATTCATCCTAAGATCGACTCTTAAATCGTCAATTCTCACAAAGGGGAACTTAAAATTAAGTTCCAGGTAGCCCATGGTTTATGAAAGGGATGCGTTCTGCAAAAACTCGGTGTAAAAATAATTTTTCGGAAATCGGGTGCTCCCATTAATTTTACACAAAAATTAGGGATATGCGTTTCACCTATATCACTTTTCGTAATAAACAAAACACAAATATTAAAACGATTGAATAATTCAAAACAAAATGAATTAACCTTTTCCGAGGCAACCTGCCAAAAAGATCTGCCGCACGTTTGAGATGACTGGAAGAGTGATGTGGAGGCGTTACTGTTGCACTGCGGGGATGCCGTGACGCTGTCGCGGATGAGATGACGCAGCCTTCTCCCCGGTGCTTCTTGTTTGATCTCATGGTGTGTGCCGTATGAAATTTCGTTCACGCAAAAATATATATTTTTTTATTTCATTCATCGAAAGTGTCCATAATTTGTCAATTGCATTAATGCGAAATTTCAGAATCTGAATTTATCCTGGAGAAATCTGATGAGCCATTAAGCTATTTTTTTCACAGATGTCCAGTAAAACTAACGTTCGTAAATCGAGATATACCTGTACTGACAGTTGCACGATCAGACAGGAACCAGGAACACAGGATATGTGTTAAAGACCAATATCTAATACTAGCAGCCAACACATGAAGATCGTGATGAGAAAGCATGCTGGTTCAGCCGCTACGACCTTCCAACCATGCTCTTCACTCCATCGGGCACCACTAGGAAGCACAAGTGACAAGTTTCTGTAAAAACATACAATATTTTGCTCTTATCCCACTTGTATCTATTTTCCCCACTTGTTTGTGTTAAAATTAAGTAATGACATATCCTTGGATTAACTCCATTTTGTGACATTATCCCATTACATTCTACGTGTGTGCTTTATAATGAGTGTATACTGCCCTCATACATACACGAAAAACACGATTAAAATCCATTGGCCGAATGTGAGTGTTGGCGAATGGCAATTTTGTAGAGATTTGTAAAAAAAATGGCCAAATAATTTTTCCGTAAATTTGGAAATTATTTTTCAGTGAGAGGGCCATCTGGCCACACACCAATCGGGCCATATTTCAGAGCTACAGTTTTTGTTTTTGAACCAAGAGATGCCCATTGATTACCTTGCTGTCACATGACTATTGATGTTTTCTGCCTTACAGCAATAAGCCCTCACCACCGGCATTAGGAAGCCTCATACTCCGTTCCCCGTGATCAAGCCCTGAGCCCTGCAGGCCCGATGTGACCGTTGAGACGAGGCACTCCTGGTCTCCTGTGGTCCTGATGCAGGGCAGCTTCAGGAACTCGGACGAAGTGGCACCGTGAGTCTCAGCCCTGACCTCTGCCCCACCTTGCCTCGGGGCTTTCTTCTCGTCCTTCCAGATCAGCACAACAACCAGGACCGTGAAGAGCAGCGAAGTGCCCAGAAACCCAGTCATTAGCGCGACCTGCTTCCTCCTGATTTCAAAAGGGGTGTCAAACAAAGTGGACAGCACATTTATAGTCACATTCACAACTTCGCACAAGAACCAGCACATTCCAGATGCCGGTGTGTAGATAGGCTTATACGTTATCATTTGTTCCAGGAAACGTTTGACTGGTTAATTTTGCATCAACGAAAAAGTCCACCCTTAATATTTATGCGTGTTATGGGCACCAAATCTCCGCGAAGCCGAGCTGTACGGGAGTGTGAAGCGAGCGTGAGTTTGAGGCTGCCGGCGCTCGCCTGTACTCATTGACGTCGTACACGTGGCACGAGCCCTCGCCCTGGCACGCCGGGCCTGATGATGACTTGAGGCACGTGGAGTCGATGGCAGCACCAAAAACAATCGGTGCAGGGATCCCAGCTGTAAAAAGAGACAATGACCCCTTCTCTACTGCCACATGCGAAACCAAGCCACCACGAGACCTCACGGTATGGGTGATTTTCCACTGCCGTGCCAAGCCGAGCCGGGACCAAACCGTGATCCGATGGCCTCACAAGACATCCGTATCTGGCTTGGGGCCAAGCAGGGCCAGGGGCTGGGCTATTGAATCGTTCATAGCATGCAAAAACTTATTTTTAACATTGGTAAAAGTATGGTACTTAACATTTTAGTGTACTATATATTGTAACAGTTACGCATGCATGAAGAGCACATCATTTATTGTTAAGATGTATATAATTGACTCCTACGAATGGTTTACGGACACAAACTCGAGATGGTCTTATAATCCCTGTTGGGGGTTGACTCAGCCCATCAGTCCTCTGGGATTGATCAAATTAGCTATAACCTGCCGCTCTCGTCATATACGTCAACAAAAACCATTCTACGGGGAGACCGGTTATTGTCATAGGAACGTAATACATTTCCACCGGTGCCTCAGGGTGACCAAGGCAGATGAGCATGGCCCAATGCTTATATCAGCAGGGAAACGCATTTTTTTAAGCATCGAGAACTAAAGTCACACGTTCCGTTGCCTGCAGATGCATTTCACGTCTTGCAATAGCAGGTTCACGCTGTGTGGTGCAACGCTTAGCACACTGGGCTGGCAAGCCGTATAGGTCGCCGGTTCGATCTCCTGACACGGTAGTTTGAACAATGGTGCACCCCCACCGCCTCTGTCCATGCAGCGGTATGGATGGGCACACTACAGTGTAGAAAAGTGGGCCAAGCACCATCTAGATGTTCTCTCTAGAGCTCCCTCTCGTTTGAGGGTCTTTTTTTCCAGCAGTGGCGTAACCAAGCAATTGCAGGGCTACACCTTTACCGAGTGCAAAACGATTTCCTTACCCAACACTCGGGTAATGAGGGTCTGTATCCCCAGAGCGAAGGAAGTCAGGTCTTTTCTGATGCCTCTGTAAACACACGGGAGAGTCGCACTTGAGACACAGCGACAGAGGAAGAGTCGACGTCCGACGAAGGCTCGTCAAAACAGAATGACCGGAATATCGGGTCAGCACCTTGACAGTTGGGTTAAACCCGATTCTCAATCCCAGAGAAATTATGGAATGTAAAAACGACCATGTGCCTGTTTTTCTTTTACTGAAGTTGACCTAGAGCAACACTGAGCACAACAAGAATGTACCGTGTACACTAGATGGGTCCACAGCGACCAACAGAACCAAAAGCGGGACTGCCTGATATTTCAGTGAACGGCAACTACCAAAGCGGCTCAGTTTTATAGTTACATATTGGTTATGAAGAATGCTAGGTATTTTGTGGAAGCAATGGGCGAGTACAACGTGGAAGTTTGGAATATAATGTGGCATGGGGCGTTGTAAATCTAATCGGTGGAAAAGAAGGTTGCGTTGGGTGGAACACGTGCACGATGGAAGGGAGCAGCCTACCAAGACAGGCATTGGAGTGGCACGTGGGCCAAACACCAGATAGTGGGATACCGCAAAGGCCGAGGTACACAACGTGATTTCTGTGCCAACGATGGGGTGTGATCCGATAGCGCTGGAATGCACCGCATCGATCGCAAGCCATCGTCTGAGGTCACACACGATGTGATAGAGTGCAATGCAACCGAGTGCAGAAATGGTTAATACAGGTCAAACACTTAAAACAGTATTATAGTTAATTATCGCCTATGATCTAGCTGTTTCTGGATTGCCTCCAAACTGCTTTTGTTTTGCCTTTTTATTAAATGTTAATCCCGGTCTGCCTTCAAAATGAGGATGTATTTTTTCAACCAGCGACGAATTGACCTTGGCTGTTGAAGATGACTAACTTTTAAAAAATCCTCACGAAGAGGCCAACCTCCCACTTGTTATGCTACCACACGTACAAATGGACACTTCACCGCGCCACCTTCCTACGTTCGAGGCCGCAACCTCGTGCCTTCACTGGCGGCCGTTACGGTCCAATGCTGTGGGCCATGGCGGAAACGTGCCGTATGAAGAAAGTGTAGCTCGGCGTGAAGGCCAAGGCGTTGAAGAACGCGGCCACGGAGGAGCTGAGCATGAAGAGGATGAACTTCCTGTGGCAGTCGTCTTCCCGAGGGCACTGCTCCAACAAGGCTGAGGAATTGTGCGCGTCACCGGCTCCAATGCAAGCGCACTCCTGGTAAACCTGACTTGCCCACACGGTGAAGCACAAGACATGAAGATTAACCAGGGAGGCCAGACGGAACCGAACCGAGGACCTTTGCAATGAGCGGCGAATCAAACGGGGTTTGATTCCACCATTGTCCACAAACGCGCACGAGAAACGCACACACACACACAGGAATCACCCACAGGAATCAAACACACACATGCACACAGCTATCAAACAAAGGAATCAAGCGCACACATAGGAATCACACACACACACAGGAATCAAACACACACAGGAATCAAACACGTGCACACAGAAATCACACACAGGAAACAAACACACACATGCACACAGCTATCAAACACAGGAATCAAGCACACACAGGAATCAAATACGTGCGCACAGAAATCACACACAGGAATCAAACACACACATGCACACAGCTATCAAACACAGGAATCAAGCACATACACAGGAATCAAACACGCGCGCACAGAAATCACACACAGGAAGCAAACACACGCACACAAGAATGAAACACGCACACGCACCCCCGCAGGAATCAACACGGGAGAATGGCGGCTCTGACCGTGTCCCTGCCGCTGCCCCGCATGACGGAGCACCCGGCGAGGCAGGGCGACGCGTAGGTGACGCCGTCCGCGCCGCACACCGGGTCCCACGCGCCCGAGGAGCACGCGCAGTGCGCGTTGCACGGAGCCAGCAGCGACCCGCCCGGCAGCACTGCACCGCTACGGACACACACAGATTCCCCCGCGTAGCTCGCACAAACTGCTGGGAAAGTGCTCTTAGCTTGCCCCGGGGAAGGTCGCGATGGCGCATGGAGGGGTGGTGTGGGCAGCACCACCCCTGGCCGTCCTTGTCTCCACCGCACACATTGTTGTTCGGTCGTCCGGTTGTGCGCGGTGGAGTATAACACGGGTACTTATTCTTGTCTGGCCAGCATGGAAGAGTTGGCCAAATAACAGCACGTGCAGAATTTGTGAGTCGCGAACAAGAGACAGGTTCTCGAGAGCTCCCTCTAGTTGGAAGCCCTTCCAGCCAGCAGTGGCATGAGCAAGAAATTGCAGTCCTGCACCTTTACCTTTACCCGGTTAAATGAAAGTCCAGTAGGGGGGGGGGGGGGAGGAGTGGGGTCATGGCCAGGGTGCTCGTGTTCACCCATCATACGGGACGGTAACGCCGGCGACGCGCGCCCCTCCGCATCCGATGAAGAAGTACGGCAGCGTGAGGAGGAATCCCGGGAACTCCATCGCGAGGACGAGCAGGGCCAGGCTCAGCAGGGACGGCTTGGCGCGCTTGCACACGAGGCCGCCCAGGAATATGCCGATGGCCACAATGGGCAGGCTCACCGCGCCTGGCCCGGGACATTGGGGAGGGTGGAAAATCACTTCAAGAGCATTTCTACCATCACAGGCATCTGCGGTGGTGGAATGGGTAGCGTGCTGGGCTGTGCCGCATTAAGGTCACCGTTCAAATCCGCCCTCCCCCCCGCCACTTGTTTCCACCCAGCATTGTAAATGGGTTCACCACAATCAGTCAATCATGAGGTCGGGTGTGGTGGGGTGAAGCGTGGGTACACCAAGCTCGTCCAAAACCAGCATGGCAGAGTAGGCCACCCGTGAGTGAAATACATTGCAGGGCTAGGCAGAACGGTTTTCTTTTGGGTTGGATCGCGTAAATATAAATGTGTCGTTAACTCGTCACCGCCCGACACAGCCAATTACTAAGGTTTGTCACGTAAACAAAACGTGCCAATTAGTTACTACTTCGGCACACCGGTGTGTTGGAGAGTAAACCCACAACATTGACAAACTTGACTACGACGTTTACGCTGGCGATTACAGCAACCAGCTTCATCAGCCGATTTGGGTGGTGGTGGGTTTTACGAGACATTTACATTGAAGCGATCTAACCCCAAAACACCTTTACTATGGACAATGTTGGTCGCGAAAGCCTACGCGTTAAACAGTACGACAGGGTTTATTTTGCACAAACCAGTGCGTATAAAACGGCTCGTGTCTCATGGTCGGGGTTAGAAGTGCGCAAGTGTGTGCGGGCGCGTGCCTACTTGCCGCGTGTCTACTTGCCGCGTGCCTACTTGCCGCGTGTCTACTTGCCGCGTGTCTACTTGCCGCGTGTCTACTGCCGCATGTCTACTTGCCGCGTGTCTACTTGCCGCGTGTCTACTTGCCGCGTGTCTACTTGCCGCGTGTCTACTTGCCGCGTGTCTACTTGCCGCGTGTCTACTTGCCGCGTGCCTACTTGCCGCGTGCCTACTTGCCGCGTGTCTACTTGCCGCGTGTCTACTTGCCGCGTGCCTACTTGCCGCGTGCCTACTTGCCGCGTGCCTACTTGCCGCGTGCCTACTTGCCGCGTGCCTACTTGCCGGGTGTCTACTTGCCGCGTGTCTACTTGCCGCGTGCCTACTTGCCGCACCTATAATGAGGTTGCTGCGTGAAGCCGTCTCGCCAAACTGTTCCTCGAGGTACTTGGCCTTGAACGTGAAGAAGCCCATGAAGGCGTTCATGAGCATCACGTAGTTGATGAGCATGCACACGTACACGGGGTTCGCCATCAGGCAGCGCAGGGACGGCAGGAAGTCTACGGAAGCAAAGAGACTCCCCGGGCTCGTGCAAACAAAGCAGTTTCCATAAAACATCTACAGGCGCTCATCTGCCGCTTACCGGTGGCGAAAGTTCCACATTCCTACGGTGCAGGCGAGTTTATCCAAAGGACGATCACCGTTGTCTCCCCCATGATCGACCCCGGATGGAGGGATGATGGGCCGGGTCAACCCCAGGATGTATGAATGTATGTATGCTGAACTTCTTTCGTATCGTACGTAGCCAACCATGCTAACCAGGATTTTCAAACTAGGATGTGAACTCTCAAACTTCTGCTTGCGAGCCGCTCGCTCTACCACTGAGCCACATGGCCGGGTCTCTCAAGTTGGGAGACAACGCGTGCACGGGCCAGAGAGGTGGCTAGGGTAGGGAAGGGTCAAAGGGTCAAGGTGCAGCTCTCCGATTGCTGTTTGGTCTCCACTGGACGGTACTCTAGAGGATACATTGGTCTACTCTTCCACACTGTTCAGACATATTTGAAGAGGAGGAGGGGTATCCCAATCGTAAATATCCTCAACAATACGGGGCAGATTTCATTCTTGAGCTGTGCGAATTATTTTGAAGCACGTTATTTTGAAAGAGAGCGCCTATTTAAGATAACATGGCACACGTGAGGGTGGGTAGCCAGCACCATGCCCGGCCATATTTGTCTCTCCTGTGTTAATGTTTACACACCAGACCAGGTCTACTCATTTAAGACTGAACCGACCTAGGGGAGGGCCCAGCATGGGTTGAGATATTAGTCACCGCGCTTGGCCGTGAGCGGGAATTGAACTCGGGACGCCGGGTTTGGAGTGCAGTAAGCTAACCACTGTACCACTGCTCCCCCGTAATCTCACACTCCTTCCACCCTTACCAGGACTCGTGCCCCCCCCCCCCCCCTGATGACCGCCCAACGCTACAGCCGATGCACCACGCACATGCCCGTGCTCCATTGACGTTCACATTTTTTGCCTCGGTTATAATTGAGGCTTTTTTCTTCATCAAGAAAATACACGCGGCGAAATAATTGCATAAAGTGAAAATACAGCAGTTATAAAATGCCAAAATTACTTGATGGTGATTTAAATCGAATATATTGGGAGCAACTATTGTACCAGGAATGCATACAATTCTGTTGACTGCCAATTTGAGGTCAATCTCTTCATATAAACAAAATTGTATTATAACTAGGCTACCTCTAGCAAATTTGTTTTTAAAGCAATTATAAAAGTGGTGGAATTTCTTACAGCCCATCCGTCAAGGATTCCACATGCAGTATCCACCTTGGGGAGAAGTTGGACCATACCTCACCACACTGCGTGTGGGACGGTGAAGAGGGGGGCAGAAACGGTTCAGATATCACTCACCCCACTCACTGTTGGCTGCTGTAGGCAATCAAACTCAGGTCGCCGGGTTCATTGCGTAGCAAACAAAGCACTGCGGCACCACCCCAACCTTTAAGTATTATTATTCATTTCGCTGAATCATCTTACCTTTAGCCAGAGATCTGATTGTTTCCGGAGTGAGATGCAAGCTTGCCTCCGTGTTTTCAGTGTGCCGGCTGCCAAGCTCAGTACTAGCTTTGTGTTTATTTTTGGCTGAATCTTGTACAGTATTCCTTTCAGCAAGTTCTGCTTTAGCAATGTGACCGACAATGTCAAGTCCCCTTGTATTAATGACCATCTTTTGCTCATTGTTGGCAGAGTGCGCGCCCTCTTCCTTGCCGGATGCTTCACGAGCTCTCTCTCCCGCGCTCAGAGCGTCCAGGTCTCCGCACCCGTCTACCACCGTCGCCACCACCGCTGCCGCCGTTGCCAACTCCTCCTCGTGGGGCACAGAGGCCGGGAAGAACCAGAGCGGGAGCGCGGTGAGCAGCGTGATGCCCCCGGCGATCAGGAAGCCCAGCCACCAGGCCCCCACCCAGCGGGAGTCCTGCGGATTGATGGTCACCTCCTCTGCGACGGCAACCGGGCACGGCGGTGCGGAGGGCCAGGGGGGTCCAGGGAACAGTGGGAATGGGGAAGAGGTGTTAGGGTGCGCTGCGTTTGTAGCACTAAATCAACCAAAAAAACCCCAAGACAAATGCACGCTCGCACGGAAATGGTTTGACATACGCAAGTGAAATGTGGATGCCACGTGAGGAGGACGCGCAAACAGTGAATGCACTTGGCATGTGGTGTGGAAAAAAAGTGAGCGCTCCGATAGGAATATGGTGAAAATGTTGTTGAGAAGCAGGAATCATTGTTGGGAAGTCTGGAAGGAGAGGAATTATGGCATATGCAGGGAATGTTCCGAAGAGCATCATAGTTGCCCAGGTGACTAAGCGGAAGAGCAATCGGTTGGCAATAAAATCCCGGTTGGGGGCTGACTCGGCCCACTTTTCCACTGCGGCTGATAAAATATCATTCTGGATGCGTACGTAGAGCGTGAAGTGTAAATTCCATGGGCTGTCAGTGGGGAGAAGTCACAAGAGTTGTGCTTTACATCCCTGGTAGGAACATCCAACAGAGGAGATATTTATAGCGTTGAACTCAGCTCTATGAGCGGATTTCAACGAGCTATGGCACATGCATCTCGGATGCATGGATCATGAGACATAATATTGCATGCAGTGTCAATGGGCGATGTCAGAGCAATTGTGTCTTGCGTCTCCAGTGTTCGGAACATCCCACAGATTGCGTGAGGACTAAATTAACAAAGTTTGTCCACTTGAGAGACTCACTGCCACCATAGGCATGTGAAATTTCCACCGCCGGTTCAGGGCTGTAAACAGGAGACGAGAGGGGGAACGGGAAGGAGACGGACGAGCTGGTGACACAAGGAGAGCAGTCGGATGGGACTGTCCTTGGGGGGGGGTGGGGACATTCACCAACCCTGGACAGCATCTGTCGTAGGCATCGACGCTCAGTTATGACGGGTGACACAAATATATCGGTAACAAAGCTGAAGCCATCCAATCACTGCTCTTGAGAACCTGGTTTAATCACAGTGGGTCACCTCGATTTGCTCTCAGGATCTCGGGGAGGGGGGGCAGGGGGTACTGGCTCAGTGCTTTGACCCCCCTGGGCCACACATATATTCGTCAAATAAAAAAATTGAATTTCCTTGCGCAGAAAAAAACTACTCCATGTGAAGTTGATCAAACGTCTCAAGAAAAACGCTGCTGAAAAATTGCCTTTACTTTTCCTGCATAAGGGACAATTAATATATTTTCTATTTAGGCTTATAAGCAAACAAATACGATGCTGGCAGAATACACCAGGAGAAGACTTTCACTATCATTAAAGTGCGTCGTCAATGATTCACAGCTGTTGCACCCCATGTTATTTGGCATTGCCGAATACTTCACATTACGTGCTGGAGCTTCTTCAGTTCGAGAAAACAGAGGAGAGCTAAACAGATCAATCGTGTGAGTTGTGTCATGGATGCCTCTCTCCAACCACAAGCCCTGCAGCGAACGTAGCAAGCTGGTCATAGACAGTGGCTTCTTGACAACGTCAGCCTTGCCGGGCTAGACCGACCAGACCTGCGCATGGGCCCTCCCCGAGGGAGTACGTCAACGCTGCCTCACCCATGTTGACGAACCCCACGTCCACGAACAGCTTCGTGCAGACGGATCCAACCAGGAAGCCGACTGCAGGACCGATGAGCCCCACGGTCATTACGCATCCTGTGGCACACGCAAGGCAGTGTTCAGTGATGCAGAGGTGTCCACTCTCACCGACTCTCGGAGCAAGCGCTGCACGCGTTGAGTGCCTTTCGAAGTGCCGGGCGGCTCAGCGGTAGAGCGGGCGGCAGTGGCATGAGCAAGCAATCGGATGGCTGCACCTTGACACTTTGACCCCTCCCTACCATAGTCACCTGTCTCTGGCCCGTGCATACAGCTTGAGAGACCCGGCCACGTGGTTCAGCGGTAGAGGGCGCGGCTCACAAGCAGAAGGTTGAGAGTTCAAATCCTGGTTACTGGGATTGACTCAGCCCATCATCCCTCCGTCCGGGGTCGATGAAGCGAGTAAAACGTTGTGGGACAGTCAACAGCAGTTGTTCTATAGATAGACTCTCCCCCACATCGAATATAACTCTGACTTGACTTTTCAGATGCCCACAGCACCAGAGACCAGCAGCTCAACCTGCCAGATGAGCAAAATAAATTTCAGATGATTCCTCTGAGGCCCCCTCGGACCTGGTGCTTGAGGCGAACTGCTCTATCTACCTCTGCACTCTCGCTAGGGCCCTAGACGCCTGAACACACAGGAGGGGAAGAGGCATCAACCGCACGCACCCAGGTAGAAGGCGGAGTTGTCAGCGCGCGCGTGGTCGTCCAGGAAGGAGATGCCCAGGGGAGTGATGGGCGACTCCCCGATGCCTCTGAGCGCGTTCCCCACGAGAATGAGCACCCAGAGTGACGACTGCGCCTTGTGCTGGCAGCCTGGGTGAGAGACGCGGACGACGCAGCCGGAGGCCGACAGGCAAGCTTCAAGTTCGATTTAACGGACCAGGTGAGAACTCTAGAGACCAGGAGAGTCTCAATGGGCCAAAGTGACCTGGGTGGCCGGAATAACAACAGGAATGACGTACAAAGCAGAACAGACGAAGCGAACAGAAATCAGAGCAAAAACAACCAAATAGTCACGTAGATAGAAGATAAATAATAATAAAAAGAAAGTGAATAAAAAATAATAAAAAACAAAACCACTTATGTAGACTGTAGCCTGGTTCTTAATCTGAGTGAGTGTACTGGCAGTCAATAATATAGACTGTAGCCTGGTTCTTAACCTCGGTGAGCGTACTGGCAATCTATAATGTAGACTTTAGCCTGGTTCTTAACCTCGGTGAGTGTACTGGCAGTCTATAATGTAGACTGTAGCCTGGTTTTTAAACATGGTGAGCATATTGGCAGTCTATAATGTAGACTGTAGCAATGGTTATTAAACTGAGTGAGCGCACTGGCAGTCTATAATGTAGACTGTAGCCTGGTTCTTAACCTGAGTGAGTGTACTGGCAGTCTATAATGTTAACTTATTATTTGGTTCTTTTGGTAAAAAAACAGAAAATTTTAAATAAAAAACAAAAACCACGACGTTTCGATCACAACACAGGAGGAAAGAGGGGGAGGTCACCGAAGGTAACGGTTTTTAGAGCTTTAAAAAAAGTGGGCATGGCACAAGCGCTCCGGCGGTGGAAGCATGGAACATGCAGTGCCAATAAAAGCCGTCTGAGGATTCAACTAAATAGAGATTGAGTGAGAGCACTGTCATCTCGTGACCCCCTCTTTCTCGGAGTGCGAGTCTCTCGCATCACGAACCTTCCCCACCACTGCCCGATGCCGGCTCCGCTGATGTGGGCTCCTGCGAAAGGCTGGGCTGCTCGCCACGTGGCACGCACATCCACTGAGGCCCCTCCCCGTACAGGTGACTCTGGTAGTCGTATCTGCAGATGAAAGCAGCAGGGAGGGAAGGCAGTTCCATCCAGGGGTACGACAAACACCGGTTGCACAGAGGATGTTTATTCTTACTTGCGGCATTATCAAAGGTGGTGATGGTGACGATCACAATCATGATCTTTTGATGTGGTGATGACAACAATTATGACGATGATCGTGTTTGCATGGATGGAAGTCCTTCTTGCCTCCCCTCTTCCTAGTCAATCCCACTTGAATCCTCTCAGTGGCTCGCAGACCAATTCCAAGTTACAATTTGTTTTAATTTCCCGGGCTTTCACCCTTAAATATTCCCTGTGCAATCAAATTCCAATGCCTCGCAATCTGCCAATCTGGTGAACGTTCAGTGAGCGGCCAATAGGCACAAGTTAGACTCATGCCTAGCGCATCAGAGCCTCGGCTACGCCTTTCAGCGACCCGTACATATGCTTAGTTGTATTTGTCAGTGGTACGGGAGAATTTGGAGCTGATTGGATTTGCCGATGGCTAAAGATGGGCCTCTGTGAAGGAGGTTCATGAAGGCCGCTACTGGGTAGTGGGAGGCTGTCAACCTCCAGCAACAACGGAGGGCGGAGGAGCAATGGTCACAACAATGGACAGATTGCTGGGTGGTTAAAACGCTGCAAGTTGGCACCGTGGAGAGTACAGGTGGTTCATCTACCAGCGGTGGACTGTGCAGAATGTTGGGCACAGGCTATATAGGTTAGACAGGAGACACGATGAAGAAAAAGAATATCTACCAGCGAGCACCTAGCCTGACACAAGCGCTGTGGTGACATCATTGAGACTTAGTGGCGAATAGCGGCTGTTGTCGCTGAAGTTTTAGGTGTATACGGGTGTGATTCTTTGTATTACAAGTGTCTGACTGTGTGTGTGTGTGTCTTTGTGTGGGAGTGTAAGGAGGAGCTCACCTGCCCATGAGGAAGTGCGGCAGGGCTATGAGCAGGGTGCCCAGCCCCATGAGGGTCGCTCCGGCTGCGATGATGCGAGGACGATGGAAGCGCGCCCCAAAGTAGCTCACAGCCGTGATCACCAGCAGATTGCCTGGTGGCAAAGCACAACAGCAGCTAGGATCCACTCACAAAGTGACTACAATATCATAACAGCACATGTACCAAGATAGGTGTATTTTGAGACCACGTGGAGAAGGCTCACTGCTAAGAGGTCAGAGGACAGGTGCTGGAGTTATGGGTTCAGAGAAAAGGGTTATTGGCAGATGCAACACCTGCATGGCTTATTGTACTGGGTATCTAGAACGTACCCACTGTTGTTACCAACAGCTGATGGGAGCTGAACACACATCTTTAATCGCTATTTGTCAGAAAAGACAACGACTGAGATATACATATAAAACCAGCTGTTGACAAGTCAGAATATCTCCTAGCCCCTTCTGTTCCACGTGCCTCATTGATTAAACTAATTGGGACCTTGCTTAACACGTAGGCTCCAACACACCGGTGTGCTGTACTAGTGACGAATTAGCACGTTTTGTTTACGTGACAACCCTTACTAGTTCGCTGTGTCAGGTGGTGGTGGGTTTTAACGACACGTAAATATTCACGCGATCTAACCCAAAAACAATAACCCTCTATTATGAGACCTTGCTCTCCAAATCCAAGATCAGGTTTAGGGTTTGTGTCACCAATGCCCCATTTGATTCTGCGTACGATGGCAACTCATTCAGGAGCTCAATGCCAATGTCGAGGTCTGCTGGCCACGACTTGAGGGCTTCAGGAGAGAGTTTACAATAGTTCTGCTATCCCTCCATTGAAGGAAAGAGATGTGGGTATTGGCTGATTGATATTCTGATGCAGTTGGTGGTTACACCGGTGCGTTCGAGGAATGTCGAAGCCAGGAGGTGCGATATTTGGGTCTCGAATGAGGTGTATATTCTGGGCATCCACGCTGTTTCACTCTATTCGCCAGCGTTCCTCGAGATCCGAGTGAGATTATAGGATGACAGCGTGATCCCAGAAGGGGATGAGGACGTGAGTTGGTGGCGAGGTACATTGTTAATGTATTGGTTGATGGGTAGGTGGCTGTCGTTGGCAAGAAAATGTGTAAACTCCCTTGCAGTGTTCTTGTTATGATGCGCATTGTGTATACCTAGCAGTTTTGTGTACGAGCTCCTGGACCAGGTTGGAAATGCAATCCTCTGCAATTGAGTAGGTCGGTGATAAGGCAGTAGCACATTAGCTGAGGGGCCAGTGATCTCAATAAGTTCATCCATAACATCTGGGTCTGTCCTCTGACCTCCTGCCAGTGAGCGTTCGGCACTTCACGTAGCCTCAAGGTTCACCTAGCCTGGCACAAGCGCCGCGGTGACATCACCGCTACTCAGTGGGAAGTGGCGTTTGTTGCTATGTTCAAGGAGGACCAGGATCAAATGCATGAGGATCTCTACTCCAGGTATACAGCTTTCTCTCTGTGAATTTGGGAGCTCGTAGGAAAGGTGTCTGCGGCCATACGCACCCATCTCAAAGCCGCCGTCGATGATCCCGGCCACGGAGCTCGGCAGGTCGAAGTGGCGCTCGATGGAGGTGATGGAGCTCTTCATGTAGCTGCCGGACATCGCCTTGGAGAAGAAGAGCAGCGACAGGCAGAGCAGGAAGACCTGCAGGGTGCGGGGAGTGCGTGAGAGGAGTTGGGGAGTTATGGTTTGATAGACGAGGACTTTGCATCCAGGCCGTCATCCTGTGTAGAGAGTTGATGGCCTCAGCCTGATCACTAATGACGGCTCAAAAAACAACTCACGTGAAATTTGATTATGCGCTTCATTTGGCTCAATTCCAGCTGTGGTCATTAACATATTGGTTTTACTGTCACGTGGCGAACATTACCCTCGTATGCATGGCGAGTGGGAAGTGCTTCCCTCTAGTTTGTGTAGACCAGAGGTCACTTGAAGAAGGGATCTCAGATGTAGCTCTGCAGTATCCCCTTCTGGGGGCCGTTCTCCAACGAGGAGGGTTGCACTGCTATGGAAGATCGAAAGGGCGCTTTGTCTTGTGACCCGATGCCGACAGCTCGATCAGGGTAAGGTTGGGGGGAAAGGACAACGTCAAATTAAAAAGGAAGACGAGGACTTGGTAGGGACACGTGATATACAGTGAGGGAAAAAAGTATTTGATCCCCTGCTGATTTTGTACGTTTGCCCACTGAGAAAGAAATTATCAGTCTATAATTTTAATGGTAGGTTTATTTGAACAGTGAGAGACAGAATAACAACAAAAATCCAGAAAAACTCATGTCAAAAATGTTATAAATTAATTCGCATTTTAATGATAGAAATAAGTATTTAACCCCTCTGCAAAACATGACTTAGTACTTGGTGGCAAAACCCTTCTTGGCAATCACAGAGGTCAGACGTTTCTTGTAGTTGGCCACCAGGTTTGCACACATCTCAGGAGGGATTTTGTCCCACTCCTCTTTGCAGATCTTCTCCAAGTCATTAAGGTTTCGAGGCTGACGTTTGGCAACTCGAACCGTCAGCTCCCTCCACAGATTTTCTATGGGATTAAGGTCTGGAGACTGGCTAGGCCACTCCAGGACCTTAATGTGCTTCTTCTTGAGCCACTTCTTTGTTGTCTTGGCCGTGTGTTTTGGGTCATTTTCATGCTGGAATACCCATCTACGACCCATTTTCAATGCCCTGGCTGAGAGGAGGTTATCACCCAAGATTTGACGGTACATGGCCCCGTCCATCGTCCCTTTGATGCGGTGAAGTTGTCCTGTCCCCTTAGCAGAAAAAAACCCCCAAAGCATAATGTTTCCACCTCCATGTTTGACGGTGGGGATGGTGTTCTTGGGGTCATAGGCAGCATTCCTCCTCTTCCAAACACGGCGAGTTGAGTTGATGCCAAAGAGCTCCATTTTGGTCTCATCTGACCACAACACTTTCACCCAGTTGTTCTCCGAATCATTCAGATGTTCATTGGCAAACTTCAGACGGGCATGTATATGTGCTTTCTTGAGCAGGGGGACCTTGCGGGCGCTGCATGATTTCAGTCCTTCGCGGCATTGTGTGTTACCAATTTTTTCTTGGTGACTATGGTCCCAGCTGCCTTGAGATCATTGACAAGATCCTCCCGTGTAGTTCTGGGCTTATTCCTCACCGTTCTCATGATCATTGCAACTCAACGAGGTGAGATCTTGCATGGAGCCCCAGACTGAGGGAGATTGACAGTTCTTTTGTGTTTCTTCCATTTGCGAATAATCGCACCAACTGTTGTCACTTTTTCACCAAGCTGCTTGGCAATGGTCTTGTAGCCCATTCCAGCCTTGTGTAGGTCTACAATCTTGTCTCTGACATCCTTGGAGAGCTCTTTGGTCTTGGCCATGGTGGAGAGTTTGGAATCTGATTGATTGATTGCTTCTGTGGACAGGCACCTTTTATACAGGTGTAGTGCTGTGAATTCACTCGGACGACAACCGTCTCATTTTCCGCCGTCACTTTTATTCCATCGTTCCGTACACACAGTAATTCTCTCCGTGCTCCGCCAACTCGGACACTCCGATTTACTTCAGCATCGTCCGTGCATCCCCTTCCACACACAGTGTTTCTTCACCTATCTCTTCACACACAGTGTCTTCCCTTCCACACACAGTGGTTCGTCTTCTATCTCACACACAGTATCGCCGCTATCTCTTCCCACGCAGTGACTTCCATCTATTCACACACAGTGACTATCTATCTCCGCTAACGCTGACTCTCCCTGTCGCTATTTACTGTCTTTGGGGTCCGGCTCTCTATCTATTCTTCCCTAACATTTCCAGCTGTCTTCTTCGTATCTCTTCACCTCTCGCCAACAACTGCCCAGCAACAACTCTCCAGCAGCAACTCCTCTCCGTTCAAACCACCTCGCGTTTTATCCCCTCTCGCATTAGCCTTAATTAATTGCCACGTGGCTCGCTGGCCGTCTCCCGCCAGCCCGCACCTGTCCCCTTCATCAGACATCCAGACGCCACCACTTAACGCTAACAGCCTCTCGACCAATCACAGCCCTCGTGCCACGACTCCCTTAATTACTTCGGGTTGTTTACGCCACCCGCGACTCGACCACCTGTTCGACCTCATGTGACCCGTTCTCCTTGTCTGTCTGTATGTACTGTATATGGCCAATTACTATGCGTATTATTTACTCCACTACACAGGTAACAAGCTGAGATTAGGAGCACTCCCTTTAAGAGTGTGCTCCTAATCTCAGCTCGTTACCTGTATAAAAGACACCTGGGAGCCAGCAATCTTTCTGATTGAGAGGGGGTGAAATACTTATTTCCCTCATTAAAATGCAAATCAATTTATAACATTTTTGACATGCGTTTTTTCTGGATTTTTTTGTTGTTATTCTGTCTCTCACTGTTCAAATAAACCTACCATTAAACTTATAGACTGATCATTTCTTTGTCAGTGGGCAAACGTACAAAATCAGCAGGGGATCAAATACTTTTTTCCCTCACTGTAGGTACACAAGTTAATGTGGTTGTTTAGTGGGCGAGTGGTGGCAATATTCATTAGGTTCACGTTTTCTAAACACGAACACAAACTGCCATTAAACCGGCTTAATAGCAATGCCAAACACAGCCCATTGCCCGGCCACTCCATGTGGCTTGTCCATAAATTTAAATGCATTAAAGAGACGTGCATTGGAATCTGCAAATTAAATGTGCCTTAATAACATAATATTGTTATTATTGTCGGCCTGTTGATGTTCTGATGCGGTTGATGGTTATGTACGTATGTTGAACTTTTTTCGCACCGTACGTAGCCAACCATACTAATCGGTTAAACCAGTGTCTTCGAGGAATGTCAAAGCCTTCTCACGGCGGCCCACCTGTAACGTGCTTTCACGTCACCTTAAACACAACTAACTCACCTGGGGGATGAAATGGACTGCATTGAAACAAGATAACGAAAAGCCATGACATTTCAAAGTCTCATTAAACAATGCCAAAAATAAAGCGAACAGCTGTTATTCCGCGGATACAACCTGGCTGTGTGTCAAGGTCTGTCCAAAACGAGTTTGAAGCTCATCGACAAAAAAATATCTAAAATGACGTGAAGGCATGCCACTCTAGTGATGTCATCGCCATTCATAATAAACGTATCAGTGTCAATGCAGGGATGTCAAGTTTGAAGCTTCAAGCTTGTGACGGGCATCATGCAATGCACACGTTTCTGTAAAATAACATCTGTGTGTTTATGGTGGCGTCCTTCAGATAAAAAAATACCTTGATGTTGGCAAACCGAGGTCGCCTGACCGGAGGGGCAGGAAGAGTCTGATCCATCTTTGTTGTCTGTGACAAAACATCACTGTTAACACGAGAATCATTGTCGCTTTCTTATCCATTCGTTTATTATTCACCCAAGCCACCAAGTGGCAATCCCTTTGTAATAATAAGCTCGGCGGCTCGCGTGAAAAAAAATCACTCTTCTCCCACAGACACGCACTGTAAAAAATAGACAAATATCCCTCGTTTAGCCATCTAACAGACTGTTAGCAATAACCTATTAAGGCGCTATGAGATTTTTCACTTTCACGCTCAGGTCTTTTTTTTTAAACGCAAGACAAAAGTACATCGAGGTACACCCCTACCTGGTTCTACGTGTAAACATCGCCACTGGGGAGACAAAGGCGGTGTGTGTGAGAGTTCAGGTGTGCGTGAAGAGTTCAGGTGTGTGTGGGAGTTCAGGTGTGCGTGAGAGTTCAGGTGTGTGTGAGAGTTCAGGTGTGTGAGAGTTCAGGTGTGTGTGAGAGGTGTGTGTGAGAGTTCAGGTGTGTGAGAGTTCAGGTGTATGAGAGTTCAGGTGTGTGTGAGGAGTTCAAGTGTGCGTGAGAGTTCAGGTGTGAGAGTTCAGGTGTGTGAGAGTTCAGGTGTGAGAGTTCAGGTGTGTGAGAGTTCAGGTGTGTGTGAGATTTCAGGTGTGCGTGAGAGTTCAGGTTTGTGAGAGTTCAGGTGTGTGTGAGAGATCAGGTATGTGTGAGAGTTCAGGTGTGCGTGAAGAGTTCAGGTGTGTGTGAAAGTTCAGGTGTGTGAGAGTTCAGGTGTGTGTGAGAGATCAGGTGTGTGTAAGATTTCAGGTGTGCGTGAGAGTTCAGGTTTGTGAGAGTTCAGGTGTGTGTGAGAGTTCAGGTGTGTGTGAGAGTTCAGGTGTGTGTGAGAGTTCAGGTGTGCGTGAGAGTTCAGGTGTGCGTGAGAGTTCAAGTGTGTATGAGAGTTCAGGTGTGCGTGAGAGTTCAGGTGTGTGTGAGAGTTCAGGTGTGCGTGAGAGTTCAGGTGTGAGAGTTCAGGTATGTGAGAGTTCAGGTGTGCGTGAGAGTCCAGGTGTGTGTGAGAGTCCAGGTGTGTGTGAGAGTCCAGGTGTGTGTGAGAGTCTAGGTGTGCGTGAGAGTTCAGGTGAATGTGAGAGTCCAGGTGTGTGTGAGACTTCAGGTGTGTGTCAGAGTGAATTGGGCGACTTAAGGCTGCTGCCATGCCAACCGTGCCTACGTTCTCAAGGCAATGTATGCGTAAATCCAATAGGGACTCGAAATTGGAAGCAACCTCGCCTGCGAATATTTTTGTTTTAATGCATAAGGCGCCCGGTGCTCAGGTCCCAGGTTTGTAAACATGGCACGAGCATCATCTCAATGGTCATTGAGTATAAAATGAACAATCTTAGTGAATTAAGTACCGTGACTTGAGTAACCAGTGGCGAAAACAGCTTCTGACCACTGACCAAAGTCAAATTTTACCCACACGGTACACACAAAGTGCAAGGCTAAACATGGGGCACGGAATTATGGGATTCCAAAGTCAATCACATTGAGTATCAGCAAGGAAATACACTTGACCCAGCAGTCTACATTTCCATGATGCCCCCCATCGCAGAAGAAACGCCTCCATTTAGGCCGTCGCTTTGAGGCACGGATGACCACACTGCTGCCTTGGCAGCCACGTCACTCTCCTGCCACCCAGAGCTTCTTTCGGCGCTCTGCACAGATGAAGTGACAGGGAAGCTGGGTTCTGGGCTCTTCGCGTAGCGATCCTGAACATCCCCCCCCCCACCACTACCCGGGCAGAGCTTGCTCCACAATGCCAACGTCGCACGCCAATCTCCCCACGGTCTTCATCGCAGCCGCAGTCGGCTCGTGAATCCACTCTCGCCTTCTCGAGCTCCATTTCCCTGCATCTCTTCTGCTGCCCTTTCCACTGTCCCCATCTCTCGCCGAGACGCATCTCCCCGCTGCACAAGTGTTCCTCGTCTCCGCACCCACGCGCATGTCGTGCATGTCGTGCGTGCGTCCACGTCTGCCCCTCGTTCTCCGTGCTGTTTCGCGTCTCAGTAGCCACGTGTCTGCGCCTACCGCGTCTTTTCCCACGTCTCTGTCCACCGCCCCCCCCCCAATCCGCGTCTCTGTGTCTCCACGTCTCCCGTCCGCACCGTCTGTATGCCGCGTGATCTTTGGTCTTTGTACGTCTCCGCCGCCGAAGTCTCAGTCGCTCACCTTCGCCTGTGCTGCTGCCGGCCGCGTCTCTCTCGCGTGTGAAACCTGACTCGGAGGTGGCACTTAGGGGAGGGGAGAGGGGGGGGAGCGAGGTCCTCGGGGAGACAAAGGCGGCTCTGCTATATTTATTTCTCGCTCACTCGGTAACTGCGGCAACTGTGATTACGGAACAGTAGGGAGCTGTGCTTGGACAGGTTTGATGTCGCCTCCGCCACCACACAAACAACCCCCGCGTCCAGAATGCTCTTAAGCTGTGGAAATGTCTTAAACAATCTTATCGGAATCATCAGCGGCCGGTAACAGTGTCTAATTGGGAAAAAAATACGACTCGCTTGACGGGACGTCTCGATTGTACGGGTGACCAGGGTGTCCCATTGATAAACACACATGGCAAAAACACGTAAGGAGACAACACGCGCTTCCACAATCCACTGCTGGATGAAGCCCCTCCCTCCCCCCCCAAGCCGTCGCCACCTCTCACGATCCTGCCACCTAAGTTAATTAACTCGAGACACTGAAACAAAAATGCTGCCGGTTTGGTTCGGGCTGCCACGGTGGCGAGATGTTAACGACCTCGCCTGGTGTGCAGGCTGCCTGCGTGGGTTCGATCCCGACCTCTGACGCCTGCTGTGTATATTTGGAGTTTGCGTGTCTCTCTCTCTCTCCCCGTGGTCGCGTGGATTTTTCTCCGGGTCCTCCGGTTTTTTCTCCACATTTAGAATTAACATCACACGTTTAAAGTATTGTGGCTGCTATAAATTTCCACGCGATAAGCCACTTCGTTGAGCTATCATTTGTGGCCATGTCGCATCTGAAAAAGAGCTGCATATAGCTCTGGTGGACCTTACCTGGTCAAATAAACAATAGTTAAGACGCTCATAGGGCTGATGTATAAAAATAAGATAATAAACCTGTCTTTTAGTAACTTATTACCCACCGTACCTTAGTTAACAAACTACCGAGCGAACTTGTCCTATTGTGAGGCACTCCCATGCAAAAGCAACAGCCTCCACTCGCCCACTAAGTGACGGCGGACGTCACTGTTATCGCTTTTGCCAAGCTAGGTACACTCTGAGCTTATCGCGTTACGCGTGGAAGGCTCGCTGGGAGTCGGAGGAGGAGAAGGAGGTCACGGCGTAGATCCGAGTGGCTCAGCGGCAGGGCGAGCGGCTCGCTAATCGCAAGATTGCGTCTTCAGATGCCGGTTGTTGTTGGGGGGGGATGACTCAGCCTCCGGAAGACAATGCAATGATCTGCACTTTTGTGTGTGTGGGGTGTCAACATTGTTTCTTGTAGGCCAGGTGTCGACAGCCTGCGGTTCTTTGACTCCCTCCCCCCCGTTTTAACTTTTTTACTCAAATCTGAAACGTAATTTAACGCAAAGATAATTGATTAAATATAGCTGGGAATGGGTCACTATGGAATGTATTGGTGACAACAAAAAGGGACAGTCAAACTGTATTGTTAAACAATAACTAAGGGGGGGGTAAACTAAATCGACGCAGTTCATTCTATCACATGTTTTATTTTGCTTATTTAAGTCAGAATGTGTTTGTCATCTGCTGTATCCCTGCTGTGCTTATGTGTACAAGTAGCTCTGCGTATGATGCGGCTCTCGAACTATTTTGGTCGAAGACAAAAACTAAAAAAATATCTTCTTGTTGGGAAGGTTGCCGACCCCTGTTTAAGACTCACCTCCGCCATAGGAATGTGGACTTTCCACCATTAGCTCAAGGGCTGTAAACAATTAATAATCACTGCCTCAATGCTCATCTCAGCAAGAACTCACGATTACTCGATTGTGCTAAAGCGCACAATTCTTATTGTTATTTTTCCCAATAAGCAAACGCACCTTATGACGGGACCCCGGGGTCGCATAAGCCCCCGGCTCTCGCATAAACTGCGTTGCGACGTCATTTAATGTCTGTTGAAGGCGAACGACACGGCAATCTAATCCTCTCGGCGAGCTCTACACGACGCGCTCATCAAAGTTGTGTTTCTTCTGCGCATTCGTCCTCGTTGCGCTTGGACGACACGACAACAGAATGATCCGTGTGTCTGCGTGTGTATTCTTGAGTGGGGAGCGATAGCGCAACGGTTAGCGCACTGCACTGCGTTGCGAACCCGGTGACCCAAGTTATTTTTCCCGCTCTCCGCCCAACGCCAGTGAAGATTATCTGAATCAGTCCTGTGCCTCCCCTAGGTCGACTCAAATGATCATCTAGTGCGATCAGTAAAAAAAAAAAAATCGCCACTGGGGAGACAAAGGCGGCCGGGTGTGCTGCTGGACCACTGGACATCTATGAAACTACTGGACATCTGCGAATGGAAACGAAATATCCTCATTGAGCAAGATCAAGGCAGCGGCCCCACGGGCAATGAGCGACTCTATAGGGGTGGCCGAGCATTTTTCCAGCACACGCATTGCACGGATTGGGGGGGGGGGGTACCTTGCCATAGCCTGGCACCAGGCACATCTCATTATTAATCGATTACAAGCGGAATGTATCGGCGATATATGCACCGAAGGAATCGTTTATTTAAGACTAGCTTAGCTTACCGGCTTCGCCCGGGACTTGGATTCACCACGCCCGACCGCCTTTGTCTCCCCAATGGCGATGTTCACACACCACAGCAGTTACTCATTTGAGGCTCAGTCGACCTAGGGGAGGCCCAGGACAAGTTCAAATAATAATCACCTGTGGTGGCTGTGCACGTGAATCGAACTCGGTTCGTCGGGTTCGTAGCGCAGCGCTCTAACCACGACACTACAATGCGTTACGCTTCCACATGCGCGGGTCACATGACAGATTTGATGTCACAGCTCACTTGCTGTGCAAAAAATTATATGCATTATTGAGCTCCCCCCCCAAAAAAAAAATAAAACCAAAAGTGTATTTTTATAATGTTTGCATGGTGTACAATCTGGAAAGTACCCACATGGCAAATTTCCAGTTTGTTGCATGTCGGGAAGTAGGCTAAACATTTTGAACAGAAACACATATTCACAACTTTGCCTTTTATATATATGGAGATTTGAGTCAATTTATCTGAATATTTACGAAAAGCACGAGTTAAGTCATTTCCCTTTAGGCCAAAGGACAGATGGACCAATAGAAGCGACGCCATCAAGGCGACATGTTTGTGATGCTGCTTTTGGTGTGGTTCAACACATTTGTCAATGACACTTGCCTCAAAGGAAAATATGAATAGGAGACGTTGCAGGCAAAGCTCACAGTACAATGAGACAAACAGTAGATCGCGGTACAATGAGACAAACTAAATTTTTTTTATCATATCAAATCGTGATAATCTATCAAAAACACAGTGGTAGGTAAATCGTTCGGTCCCAGTTCTCAATTTCGACACAGAGCCCACAACGAGTGGATGGGGTGTTGTATACGGCCCTTTTCCCACAATTAATATTAATAACGATATTTGCCGATATATTTTTTTTAATAGTAACCGAAATAATAAATGAAAACACACAAACCAGACTCACAGCAAACAGCAGATGGAGATCGTAAAAAGGCCAATTAAAATAAATAAATAATAAACTCCGTGGCAAAGGAAGGTTAGCGGTTATCTGAGAAATCTCCAGATGAACAAACCTGTTTTATGTAACACAGGGCCGGGGTCACCAAGAGGAAAAGGGGAATCCCAGACTCCAAGGACCCCCCCCCCCCTTTCGTCAGGCCGCAGACAGAGTGACGCCAACGAGTTAACACTTTTCCTCGTATTTGCTTTTAAATCAATGGTTAAAGTTAAAAATTCAACAACAGGAATAAGCTAAAATTATCGATCCTCACACTCACTCCAATTGGAAGAAAAAAAAAACAGGCCACAATCTACATCAGTGAATCATTACCCATTTACTAATTCGATACTAAATGTTATTTTCACCCTTAATACTTTTACAACGTTAAAGCACAAATCTTCGGGAGCATAAGCAAATGATAATGGTGCGGTGTTGAATCAAGGGTTGTCCAGAGGAGGTGAGGCGAACGGGTCAAGCTTGCGAGGCCAGGATGAACTATGTTCTAGAGACCCCGGCCGCCTTTGTCTTCCCGCAGCGCGGGAGAGCAGGAGTAACACCAGAGCAGGAATTACACCTTATCGCGAGGGCCATCTGTGCAGTGGATGCGCTGGACTTAATGAGAAAACACACGAACACTCCACCCCCACGATACCCTTCGAGAGCAAAGGAGGAAGGGGGCGAGACGGAATTCCCCAGGACAGCAGCTGCCAACAGCGAAACCAAGCAAACAATTTTAGCTAAAGAAAATTACAATACATAGTGTCACACAGAGCATTAATTGCTAACGCTATTCACCTTAAATTGCGATGCACCTTGCCCGCTACCCGACCTCGCAAACACCAAGGAGTACAAATTCCAAGAATCGAGAGGCTTACCTTTGGCTCAGGATATCGGAAATAAAATGATATAAATCATAAAGCTTACACACGGAATGACGAAAATTAATAAATCCTGAGGGAGGGTCAGGATGACGGGGTAAATCACAAACCTTGTTCAACATACAAACCAAATGATATTTGAGCGACGTTAAACCGAGGGTTAGCCAGAGAGGGAAAGAGAACCTCCCGGCCGCCTTTGTCTTCCCGCAGCACGTGATAAGAATATGCATACGCTCAAGAGAGCATCATCTCCTCGTGAAAATAAAAATCAGATACCTGGAGTCACAGACAGAATCCTAACTGCGAGTGGTACGGTACCAAACTGTGATGGAATAAATGTTAACTTTAAAAGCCTTAACCCATCCTTGGTGCGTAGAGAGAGTCACACAGAGAAGGTTCGCCCCTCACCCCCAGGATTGTATAACGCAGACAGAGGGACGCCTTCGGGACGATTTGAAGCATCTGGACTCTCTTGATGGCGGGATGTCTTGAGGGAGGTGACGAAACCATGCTTTGATGACTCATATTACACCCATAAAATGACACACACATGCACACACATACAGACACGCACACCCCAGCCCCACGACACAAAGCAGGCTTAAAGGGAGCTCCGCCCCTTGTGAGAAGGCGGAGCTAGAAGGAGAAATTTTGACATAAAAGAGAGGCCCGCGAGCATTGAAATCAGATCAGCTCACCTACCAGTGGACCAGCTCAGCATCACCCAGCGGAAGAAGACGGCGACCATCAGAAGATCAGCCAACCACCGACGCAATAGAAGTCTCTACAACTCGCCAGAATGGCTAGACTCGCTACTTAGCTACATGCTATGCCGTGCGAATTCAACGTCATCAGAAGAAGTATCGCTCGAAAAGCACTCCGCTAGTCTGAACCTCGACTCTCAAGAGTCACTGCAGACTTGTTGAAGCGGACGAGAACTCCAGCATCAGCCACCAGGGGGCGGAAAGGGTCAAACGTTGACCCAACCGGCCATCAACGAACGGAGCCATCATTCATCGCCAGATCAGCGCGTCAACGGCGAGCACCGACACCGCTGCAACACGAGCTGTGAGCGCCATCTACCGACGGAACACCGCGCCTACAGCGCACCGTGCCAACTCATCAACCAGTGTGGGACGAAC